AGGGTGGGGGAAAATGAGGACCTAATGCCAGGGGCTTAAGTGGAGAGGAAATGTTTTGAGAATGATGAGGGCAATGAATGTACAAATGCCCTTTACACAATTGATGTATGTATGGATTGTGATAAAGAGTTGTATGAGCCCCTAATAAAACGATTTAAAAAAGAAAAAAGAAAATGGCTGAATCATCAACTTTGGGAAGGAAAGAGATCCTTAGTAAGCAAAGCACTGGTCTCCAAGAACAAAGCCGAAGGCCTCACACTTGTAGTCAAACAGCCTGGGACTAGTGCAACAGACACACAGACCAAAGGAACAAGACTGAGAACAGAGAAGTAGAATCATCTACCTATAGAGTTTAACTTTAACAAGAACCAAAACCCATCCAATAGGGGAAGAGACAGTCTCCTAACAAATGGTGCTCAAAAAACTGGATATCCATTTGCTAAGAAATGAAACAAAACTCCTATCTTGCACTATATACAAAAACTAACTTAAGATGGAAACCTAAACGTAAAACCTGAAAATATAAAGTTCATCAATGGAAAAGCAGACAAACTAAGAGCCCTGATACAAAAGTGCACTATCACATATAACTGAAGGCGCACACAAATGGCAGAAGACAAACTAAATGACTGGGCCTCCCCAAAAGTAGACTCAGATGTGCCCCATGAGATTTCACCCAGAGTAAAAAGAAATCCCTCATCCTGGGAAAACAAACGTTGGCAATGACATATAGGAGAGGGATTAATCTCAAAGAGTTACAGAAAATTCTAACACCTAAACAAGAGGAAAACAAGCAATCCAATTAAAAAATGGGCAGAGGGTATGAACAGGCTAAGACATTTCTTGAATGAAGACATTCAGGTGACCAACAGGCATGTGAAGAAATGCTCATGATTAACCATTGGAGAGCTAAAAATAAAAAACAATAATGAGCTATCGTCTCACCCCGACATTAATAGAAAAGTTTGAAAAAAAACAAAAAGTGCTCGTCGGGTGTGGATCAACCGGAACCGTCCTAAACAGCTATAAAACATTACAATCACTGTAGAAGCAGTAGGACACATGCTTGAAAGTTGGAAATACAAGGACCATAGGGTCCAGCAGCCCCATTACTAAATCAATACCCTCAAGAAGCAGGAGCCATGGCATGAATGGGTATATGCACACCCATAGTCATTGCAGCACTGTTCACAATAACAGAGAGATAGAAACTACTTTAAATACTCATCAACAGAACACTAGGCAACATTAAATAACAACTGATTCTACAAAACACCTTAGAACATGGCTGAGCAGGGAGGACATTATGAACAGGGAAATAAGTCAATAAGAAAATGACAAATTACTTTTAAAATGGCTTTCACATAAAAAGCAGCATTATTTGATGGTTACCAGGTGAGAAACGGGTAGGAAGGTGAGATTACAGAGGTTACACACATATTTAACTTGGATGAAGGGAAGGCAACAGATGAAGAGGGAAGTCAATATAAACAATGATGGCAAAGGGTATCGATAGTATAAATTTCAATCTGTAGTCTAATTGAGTCTAAGTCATAAAAGGGGTGCCCCCGCCAAACTGGAAATAGCCTCCACTGGGCAGAACGTTTGTAGTATGAATTTTCCCGCTAGGCAAGCATCCAGCAACTCACGCTGAGTTCGTGCATCCAGTGGCATCGCCCGGGAAGCTTTTCTCTGGTCACAGTGACTTTCTTCATTGTAAAAGCAGTTTCGCTCAAACCTTGTTTTTTGTGATGGTTGATTTAAGAGAACAGCATGTAGCTGTGAAATTTTGTTTCCTGCTCGGGGGAAAATGCTGCACAAACTGTCATAATTTGAACACAGCTTACAAGGACAGTGCTATGGGAAAAACTCAAGTGTATGAGTGGTTTTCTCATTTCAAAAAGGTGAAATGTTGATTGATGACGAAGCTTGCTCTGGACATCCATCAACTTTCCGAATGGATGAAAATGTTGACAAAGTCCGGGCACTTGTGCTCAAAGACCGACGACAGACCACTGGGGATAAGGGGAGTTATCTGGACTATTCCGGAGCTCAGTTCAGCAAATTTTAACAGAAGATTTGGGAATGAGAAAGGTCACTGCAAACTGTGTGCCTCCAGTTCTGACAGACCAGGAAAAAGAGCGTTGTTGAGTGGGAATGTCCACCTTTGAAAGAACAACTCTGAAGCAACCCTGGCATTTTTCCCAAGGTCATTACTGGTGACAAGACATGGTGCTATTTTTACCACCCCCAGAAACAAACACCAATCCAGTCAGTGGAAGATGCCATCTTCACCTGGCCCAAAAAAAGCTTGTCAAGGGAAATCAAAGATCCAGACAATACTCATTTGTATTTTTGATGTGAGGATAATAGTGCATTTGGAGTTCATTCCAGCAGGTCAGACTGTTCATCAAGCTTTCTTTTTGAGGTTCTGAAAAGATTGCATAACACTGTGCGACAAAAAAGGCCTGATCTGTGGCAGATGGAGGAATGGTTTTGCCACCACGACAATGCACCTGCTCACGCAGCCATCTAGGTATGCCAGTTTTACACAAAAACCAGCATACTTCTCTGGTCCCACGTACCTTACTCACCTGACCTCGCTCCATGCGACTTCTTTCTGTTTCTGCAAATGAAGAGGGACATGAAAGGACAGTGATTTGAAGAGGTGAAGAAAAAATGAGGGAGGTTCTGTCAGCCATCCAAACAGATGAGTTTGAAAAATGATTCCAAGAATGGAATAGCAGATTTGACAAATGTATTAAATGTAACGGAGAGTACTTTGACGGTGACAAGGTTGTTTTGTAAAGCAATTTAAATACACAGCTTTGAAAAATTTTTCCAATTTTTTTGTTTGTTTGTTTTATCGAGTACCCCCTCATAGATGGTCTCAGAAGTTCTCTGAAATCTTGGAAATCATATTCAAAGTTCCATAAATGTGAATTTTTTTCCTTGGGTTGATAATAGTCACTAGTATCATTGAAAGAATTACTTATTTAGTGTGCCATATTATCCCACAATTGAATCCTAATTTGATTTGTTACCAGCAGGAGATGTCCACATAAAAGTCTTGTCAATTGGATGAGGCCATAAGACAAAGTAACAGTGTTCTTTCACTTTCATAAAATGCTATGAAACTTGAAAATTTTAATTTAAATATCAACTTCTAAAGTCACAAAGTATTCTGGATTAGTGTACTGCTGTTCTCATAATAAAGATATTGCTGCCTTCAAAAAAGATTTTTTAAAAATAGGTAAGTTGTATTAAATACTGTGTTTCTATTTGCTGCAGTTGAGTAGGTACTCAACTCATGGCAACTTAATGTACAATGGAAGGAAACACTGGCCAGTCCCACATCACCCCTAGAGTTGAGGGTCAGACCACAGTGATCCATAGGGTGTTCAATGGCTGGGTTTGGGCAGCAGATTGCTGATTTATTGAATGTAAGCTCTGGAAGCATCACTGAAACCTGCTGAGGATAATATTAACAGGCAAGCAACTCCAAGGATCTTCTAAGGCCCGGGATTGTTCAGCAACCCATAATCAATGTACAAACTATTTTATGAGTCAATTCAGTAAGGTAGGCCATATTTTCAACTATTAGCAATATCTATTTCAATTTTAATGAAATTTAAAATACATAAACTTATAGCAATCACAGTTTCTAGGATGAGTAAAATTCTACTGCGTAGTCCATAAAATAAATCCCATCAACTTAAAAAGATTGAAATCATAAAAATGTATCTAAATAAAATGGAACATAAGCTATAATGAAGAAAAAATACACATTTGAACAATCCCCCAATATTTGGAAATTTTAAAAGCATGCTTCTAGATAGTTCATGGTGCAACTGAAAAAATCCTTCTGGCCACAAAGAAATCTAAACTATCCGTCCCAGTCACTGAGCCGCCGCCCAGGACTCAGCAGCCTCCCCCTCGAGCCCCCTCGCTCCCAGACGCTCAGTCCCCCCTGCCCGCCTTCTCCAGCCGCCACCTTCCCCAGGCCGTTTCCACCGAGGAAAAGGAATCGTATTGTATGTCTGCTATCCAGAACCTCCACTCTTTCGACCCCTTTGCTGATGCCAGTAAGGATGATGACCTGCTGCCTGCGGGGACAGAGGATTATATCCATCTAAGAATTCAACAGTGCAACGGCAAGAAGACCCTTACCACTGTCCAAGGGATGGCTGATGATGACAAAAAGAAACCAGTGACGGCGTGTAAGAAGAAACTTGCCTGCAATGGTACTGTGATTGAGCATCCAGAAATGGAGCAGTGATTCAGCTACTGGGTGACCAGCGCAGGAACACAGGCCAGCAGACAGTGGACTGGCTAAGGATGACCAGCTGAAGGTTCATGGGTTTAAGTGCTTGTGGCTCATGGAAGCTTAAGTGAGGATTTCCTTGCAATGAGTAGTAAAATTCCCTCTGTCCCTTGTCACAAGTTTAAAACCTCACAGCTTGTATGATGCAATCATTTGGGGGTCCACATTTAACTTGGACTAGTGTAACTCCTTCATGCAATAAACTGAAAAGAGCCATGCTGTCTAGTCTTGAAGTCCCTCATTGAAACAGAGGTCGAGCAGTAGGCGCCTGGCAGTGCCCAGTCTGAAACAAAACAATAGCATCATGTTTCAGCCGAGCTCAGAGCCCTGAGTTCTCAGAAGGCTATGTCTGACCAGAAACTCCCCTGCCCTAAGAAAATGGCATCCACCACCTGGACAGCCCCCAGTGGGGAGGAAGGGGTAAAGCAGCTGTGCCACTAGCGGGACACTTTGGTAGCAAGAGAGAGATCTCACGGTGTTGCCGCCAACCAGACAAGGGGGTGGGCCTTAGGAGATCAGCCCCTTCCCTCTGGTAAGGTGAAAGGCTTCTGGCTTTGCCACCAAGGTCTTGGTTCTTTTTGACCAGACATATCCTAGCTAAGGGGTGTCCAAAGATCGCCAGAATGTGAGGCCAATCTTGGATCAGCGTTAAACTTTTGACAAGGGAACAAATTTCAAACGTATGTAGCTAGCTGTAGTGCTTGCAACTTCCTAGCTACAGCTGCCCAATGCCATGTGAAGTAACAACTGGTCCCCCCCCACCTTCAGTTTTCATGTTATGTGATGTATTTAAACTTATTTAAATAAAACTTGTTTGCAGGAAAAAAAAAAGAAATCTAAACTATCCCTGACTATTTCATATCACCCTACTGATAATGGTTCCTATGGAGAACAGATCAAACCGGCTCAGTGACATCAAAAGTAGGCTGCCATCCTGAATCTAGGATCCACCCTTCTTGTCACATATATAGCCCCAATCCCTCTTCCTATTGCGTGTATATCCCTAGATCGTCCCCCTCTCATTGCTGTATAACCGATAGTGCAACCCCTTCCTGTGACATATGTCTTTACCTGTAATTAGTGGGCTTGCACTCCCCGCCAAATATATATAGGCCTGAGTTAGCAATAAATAGGTAAAAAAGTATTGATTATATAGAGTTGAAAGGAAAATCAACATAATCCTGCAAACTGCTGGAAAGTTCCTAATGTAAGGCCTTTTCAGATTTTGTAGAGTCCTCCCACTGGACAAGAATATCAGCTTAAGCACATCTGAAGGACTATTCCAGACCACTTATAACATCTCTTATCAATTAAAAACAAGAAGTCAGTACATTAGGAAACAGAGAAAGTCTTCCGACTGCTGGTATAGCCAAAAGCTTGCCAAGTAGCACAATTTTTTTCTCTACAGTTGGGTTATCATCATCAGAGGATACAAAATTTTTAAATAAAAATATACAAATAGTATATAAACAGGAAATTTTCCTAAACTGCTATATTCATTATCAAAATATGTATTTTCCATCAAGCTACATACTTAGAAACTGATTTACAGGCTATGGGTCCCAAGTTTTTCTACTTTTCACTCTTTTTGAGTTTATTAAAAACAATAACAATAACTCAATGAAAACAACGTACTTATCAAATTCCCTTTTGCATCCCTGAGAGGCGCACCACCTCCACCTTTCCCCCAAGGGTTGTAACTTCTCATTTCAGCTTCCAATTTAGCTTCATATTGTTCTTTTTCTTCCCGTTCTTTCTTCCTTCTTAGTTCTCTTTCTAGAATCTTGGAAACACAAGAAACGTTGATTATAAGTGCTGATAAGTATTCTGATCCAAGATTCTGAGTATCAGTGATATCAGATTTTATTTTTGTTAGAAAGACATGAGATGCTTTTCCCCCCAGCATATTTCAGTAGATAATTTAAACAACACAAATAAAGGTAAATAGTGAATTTAAAACACTTCAGTGGCTAAAACATATTATGTAGGGGGAGACCTTTCCAATCAATGATACCACTTTGAACTAGACCTACTATTTTACTTCTCACTCCTACCTCCTCCCTGAACCATTATTTAGGGAATCCTGAGGTTTCCTTCCCTAAACTTCAACGGTGTCATAGGGAACACAAAAATCTTCCTACTTTCCTTTTTCACATAACTGTCATGGATACTGTCCAGCCACAAACTCTATTCCCAACACAACAGATCTATTTTTTTAAATAAACTGGACAGTAGATTCCAACTCATTATAATCCCATGTATGTCAAAGTAGAACTGTGTTCTACAGGATTATGAAAGGATGGGTTTTTCAAAGTAAATAATCAGGTTTTTTTGTCCAAGGCACCTGTGCTCTTGATGGACTTGAGCCTCCACCCTTTAGGTGCATTATTCGCACCAATCAGGGACATTCTACCCTGGGCAACCCTCCATTCATTCCCAGAATTCAAAGCAGCTCAAGGTTCAAAGCTTTTTGGAGCATGCTGGGCTACTTTATGAAAAATACAAATACAACCCTACCATCATCACATATAAGCACAAGGCTTGTATGTCCAGAGACATGTGGGAAGGTAAAAAAAACAACAAGTATCTACATTTTGGAAAGTCACATTTAAAAATATAACCATATGCAAAGACAACGTAAGCAACCATACTCTCTAACAAGGCCAGAGAAGTCATGTAGCCTTCTGGAGTTGGAAAATCTCGTTTTGTTGGTGGTATTTTTAATATACTCTTTCAAAGATTGACAGATATAATCTGAATTTTTTGTGGAATTTTCAACACAGTATAATGTTGGTGATTCCATGATTTTGAAAAATTCCTCTTTCAAATGGTTGGCCATGTAAATCTTGAACAAAAAAAGTGTTAGAATAAATAAATTCTAAGGAATTAAACATCTATCTACCAAGGATCATGGGGTGTCCTCAGAGATAAAGTGATATTTCTATTAGCTCCATACATTTAATAATTACTCTAGAGCAATCTCTCTTCAAACATTACAAACTATAGTACAATAACCCATTACCATGTCCTGGTTCCTGAATTGCCTATCATAGTTCATATTCTCATTATTCTCCCACATTGTAACACGGGAAATCATCTTCAAATTCCCTGGTTATTTTTTCTTATTCCCTATATTCAAGTCCTGTCGATGAAACTTCAAAATTATCTTTTGGATGTCCTCCCACCTTCCCTCTCTGGCTTGGGGGTCTCATCTCCTGCCTAGACTACCTCAATAAATTATCAGATGGTTTCCCTGCCACATCCCTTTCCCAACTGTTCACTCCTCAACCAAGTATCTTCCTAAAATGAAAATCTGCTCACATCAACTACAACTATTTTACTTTGGAATTTTAAATGTCATGTTGTCCACTACCTATAAGATAAAGGTGAAAACACCTTACTGGTTCTCCACAATATACATCAATCTAATGCTCGTGTCCCATCTCCCACCACTCCTTTATAAGCAGGTCAATGACACTGCCCAAAAATATTAGGAATTCCAAACCTATCCACTGAGCAACAACACCCACCTCAATTATCTACTACTACATGAAGCCATCTCCCAAATGCCCAAGCAAAGTTCTCTCTTTTCTATGCTACCAACAACATTCCAGTCTATCCACTTTAAAATGTATCATACTGAATTATAATTTCTTTCCTTTTGTGTGGGTGTAAATAATTTCTATCTCCCTGTCTCCCCTGCCACATTCTGAGTTCTATGGAACTGCTTGCTATTCAATATAAGGCATTGAACATTGGATGAATGAATGGATGGATGAATGGATACCTGCTGCTGCAAAGCTTCCTGATAAGACTGAAGTGACTGTTTTGAAGGCTTTTGTTTATCTTCAAAAAACAATCCTGCATTTACTGCCCGATCAGTTGTAGTCTTCAGTTCACTCTGTCCACCTATATTCCTACATCAAATACACAATTAATAGTTTGAATCCATTTATGACTCAGCCCAAAAAATAAAATAAAATATTCCTTTGAAATAATATGATATATAAGCAGGTTTTAAAATAGGAGGCCCATTTCCCCATAAGTCAAAGTGGGCCATCCCTAAGATAAACCTCTTGTCTCTTCACTGAGAGTCCACGGAGCCAATCTTTCATGTAGGTAGCAATTTACACTTGGGTGAATATTTTGTGATAACTCGTGAAGCAGTGCACAACTTATGTAAATTTATGAACATACAGAATAACATACTATAAGTCCCTCCGGATTCCTGATGGCATAGTGGTTATGTGTTGGGCTGCAAACCAGAAGGTCGGCAGTTTGAAACTATCACTCTGCATGAGAAAGATGAGGTTTTTCTACTGCTGCAAAGAATTACAGTCCCAGAAACCCACAGGGGCAGGTCTACTCGGTCCTGTCAGGTCACTATGAATTGGAATTGACTTGATAGTAGTGAGAGTGAGTCAAGATGTCCCTCAAGTAATATCATAATAACTAATGACTTAGTTAATCCCCACCCACTGACATCAAACTGATTCCAACTCATAGCAACGCCATCCAGGGTTTCTAAGTCTGGAAACTACATGGGAGCAGACAGGTTTGCCTTTTTCCCGATAAATCAGTAGGCTTGATTAACCAACCAATGCCTAAGCCAAGAAAAACTGAAGGATCAAATTATTAAAACTAGGAATCAGAAGGAACATGAAGTTGAACCTTACACAAAAATTCAAAAGACTATAAGGGAATACTAGAAACAACTGTATGGCAATAAATTGCGATAATCTGGATGAAAGGGACAAATGTCTACAAGTTTTGGTCTACAACCAAAACTAATGGAAGAACAAATTTAAAAGATAGCTAGGAATTGAATTAGTTGTCAAACAACTTCCCACAGAGAAATGACCAGTGCAGCTTACTTCACTAGTGATGTCTAGCCAAAATTTAAAGAACAACAATTTTTAACAAACTCCCCCCAAAATTAAAAATAAAGATAGATGTCTCATTCTACTAGGCTAGTATTATCTCTAAATCAGATATACACATCAAAAAGGGGTGGGGGGGCGGAAAAGGACATTACTAACCGGCGCCACTAGTAAGTATAGGCACAAATATCCTCAATAAAAAAATTAACAAACTGAATACAATAGAATATAAAAAGGATTAAATTTTGTGACACTGTGGGATTTATTTCAAGAATCCAAGCCTAGTGTAATATCTAAAATCAATCAAAGTAATATGCCATGAAATAGAATAAAAGACAAAAACACAAACAATCATCTCAAGAGCCATACAAAGGAACGCTTGACAAGGATCAATACTACTCCTTAATGCAAAAGAAAAGGCTAAAGCAATACTGAAAGCTAACAACAAAGTAAGAGGCCTCCCAATTTGCTAGCTCAAAATGTACTATATAGCCTCAGTAATCAGAATAACCCATGTGATACAATGACAGACACACAGACCAGTGGAACCGAATGGAAAACCCAGAAATAAATCTATCCATCTGTGGGCAGCTGAAAAGGGGTCCAAGTCCAGTCAGTGGGAAAGAGGCTGTCACTGACAAAAGCTGCCAGCAAAATTGGAAAAATCAAATCATACCCATTAAAAAAATAAAATCACAGAATACACAAAGACTAACTCAAAATGGATGAGATTTAAATGTTAACACTAAAACAATAAAGTTCATGGAAGATAACATAAAAGTAAAGCTAAAAAACAACAACAACAACAACAAAACTCAATGTCTGTGACTCATAGCAACCCTCTAGGACAGGCGTCCTCTAACTACGGCCCGCTGGCCACATGCAGCCCACCAAGGACATTTATCCAGCCCGCCGGGTGTTTTTTTCCCCCGTTTGTTTTTTCACTTCAAAATAAGATATGTGCAGTGTGCAGAAGAATTTGTTCATAGTTTTTTTAAAACTACAGTCCAGCCCTCCACTGTCCCACTGGGTCTGAGGGGCAGTGAACTGGCCCCCTGTTTAAAAAGTTTGAGGACCCCTGCTCTAGGACATAGAACTGCCCATGTGGGTTTCCAGGACTTTGCATGTTGACAGGAGAGGGTAGGTTCATTTTTGTTCCACAGAGTGACTTGTGGGTTCAAACCACTTGACGTTTGTTTAGTGCTCAATGTGTAACCTACTACATACATCACCAAATACCCTATTTGGGGCATAAGTCACTATCAAACACAAAAATGCACAATCAGAAGAAAAAACAGATAGCTTAGACCACCTAAAAATTCAGTATTTATGCTTATCAAAAGACTACCTAAAATGAAAAAAGAGAACTTATAAAATGGGGAAAGGTTTTGGTATGCCATGCAATGGGGTTTCAAAAAGATCATGGGAAAATTTCATTCTTTTTATTGTTTTTCCATAAACTTACTGAAGCCCCCTCACAATGACAAAATATAATCTAAAACACACAGAAAACATCAACAACACAATGGGCATGAACAAACGCTTCACTGAAAAATCGATGGAGAGAAGGGCATAGAATGCCTCGGAGGGCTTAATCAAGGGCAATATAACAGCGAGGAATTACTGAAACCCGAATGAAGGCTGAACACGACAGTGGGACAAGAGGAAAGTAAAAGGAAATACAGGAAAGAACTAGGAGGCAAAGGGCATTTATAGAGCTCTAAATACAGCATGTATTTATATCTATTTATATATAAATATATTTATACATAACAATAGGGAAATAGATCTATGTACTTATATTTATATGTTAAGTATTAAGGTAGCAGATGGATATTGGGCCTCAACTCAAGTAGTCCCGCAATGCAAGAATACTTTGTTCTAATAATCCGGCATTCTGTGATGCTCACCTTCCCAACATGATTGCTTAAGACAAAATGGGTGCATAAGCAAATGTGGTAAAGAAAGCTGATGGTGCCCAGCGATCAAAAGATATAGCATCTGGGGTCTTAAAGGCTTGATGATAAACAAGAAACCATCTAGCTGAGAAGCAACAAAGCCCACATGGAAGAAGCACAGTAGCCTGTGTGATCATGAGGTGTTGATGGGATCAGGTATCGGGCATCAAAGACCCAGAACAAAAATCATACCAATGTGAACGGGTGTGTGGGGGTGGAGGGGGGGGAGAGTGCGTGCGCGCAAAGTGGAGACCCAAAGCCTAACTGTAGACAATTTGACATCCCCTTACAGAAGAGTCACAAGGAAGAGATAAGCCATTCAGGGTATAGCACCAATGAAACATACAACTTTTCTCTAGTTCTTTAAAGCTTCCTCCCTCCCACTATCATGATCCCAATTCTACCTTACAAATCTGACTAGACCAGAACATGTACACTGCAACAGATAACAGCCCACAACACAGGGAATCGAGGACAGATAAAACCCTCAGGACCAATGATGAGAATAGAGATACCAGGAGGGCAGGGGAAGGTGAGGGGAGAAAGAGGGAATTGATCACAAGGATCAATATATAACCCCCTCCCAAAGGGACGAACAACAGAAAATTGGGTGAAGGGAGACAGCGGGTGATGTAAGATATGAAAATAATAATCTATAATTTATCAATGGTTCACGATGGAGGGAGGAAGGGGGAGGGAGGGAAAAATGAGGAGCTGATATTAAGGGCTCAAGTAGAAAGAAAATGCTTTGAGAATGATGATGGCAACATATGTATAAATGTGCTTGACCAATGGATGGATGGTTGGATTTATAATAAGAGCTGTAAGAGGCCCCAATAAAAGTATTTAATTTTAAAAAAGCAAAAACACTTCACTGACAAGGACATTCAGGTGACTAACAAACACATGAAGAGATGCTTGAGAACTTTAGTCCTTAAGAGACAGAAATCAAAACAACAATGAGATGCTGTCATGTCCCTGCAGAAATAGTACTGATTAAAAATTTTTTTTTCTTTTTAAAACATGTGTGTGTGGAAAAAAAAATGGTTGTGGGGTGCTTTGAACTCATATACGCTGCCTGGAGGACTTTAAAAGAGCCCTGGTGGTATAGTGGATTAAGTTTCTCGGCTGGAAAAAGATGAAGCTTTCTGCTTCTGCAAAGGTTTTCAGTCTCGGAAACCCAAAGGGGCAGTTCTAGCCTGGCCTATTGAGTCGCTATGAGTCAAAATGGAGACGGATGCAGTGAGCTTAGGTAGGACTTTTAAAACGGTACAACCACTATGGAAAACCATAATGCACCTCCTCCAAAAGCTCAGAAAACAGTACCCTCTTATCCAGCAAGCCAACTCCTAGGTACATATCTTAGAGATAAAAGACCAGGGACACAAAATAGATACATAAACACCATTTTCATTGCACCATTATCCCAATGGCAAAAAGATAGAAATAATATAAATGCCCACCAATGAAAGAAAGGACAAATAAACTTTGGTACACGCACACAATAGAGCACTATGTAATGTTAAAGGATAACAATGGATCTGCAAAACATCCCACAACAGGGAGAACATAATAATAAGTGAAATTAGTCAATCACAAAAGGACAAATACTGTAAGAGACCACAGTAGAGAAACGTCAAGAAAAAAATTACACATTAAAAGAAGTATTTTTTTATTGGAAGGGAAGGCAAGTACCGGCTGTGGCTAGACAAGTGTTAACTTGGGTGTAGGGGATAGCAACATACAATAAAGGGAGGCTGGTAAAAAATGGAGGAGACAGGAGGAGACAATGAGAGGAGTGCGAATTAAATACTCTGATATGCACAATCCCACATGAACAGGTCTCTACAAACACATGCATGGAGAGGCTGAGTGGGTATGGAGGGAGAGCAGGAGTGTAGCCATGAGCTCATGCAAGGAATTAGTGTCTGCCTTACCAGGCAGTAGGGATGACGCACGAGGCAGTGCCTCACTTCTCCTGCCAGAATGTCACAAAATAATCAGCTAAAACACAAGTAAGATCCAAATCTCGTGACATATTAAAAACACCCAGATTTGAATCACAAATCATTTGTTATA